ATAAGATTCTCTTGGCTTTTTGTCATCAAGAGTATACCGCAATTTCTTAACCAACACAAATATTTGACAAAGCTTGAATTTTTTTTAAAAAATAGATGCATTGACAGCAGTTCCAAATTCACTCCATATACAGGCTGGTTAAGTCCTGAAGCGTATCCAAAAATAATGTATGATGACTTATTTTGTAGCTTTCCAATTTTTTTTGCTTCAAAATCTGAACCACAGAACAAACTCTTGTACAAAGAAACAAAAACAAATTCTAAACGTTTTTCCTTGACCTAGTGGGCCAGGACTATAATTGAAAGTGAATTTTTTTTCCTGCATACTTTAGTGTCTTGTATCTTATAACACACAAATGTTAGCGTTTGTTTGTTTTAAATTAAACATAGCTTGCCACTGGCTAAATCATGGGATTTTTCTGTTGGGATCTGCTACAAAATTCAAGACTTCTTAACATGGAGCTTTTGCAAATCAAAATTATTGCTCAAGAGCATTATGGTACCTTCCAGTTCTCATCACCATGGACAGAAGCTAATAAGTGAATTATGAGATCCTGCCATATCAAAGCCAAGCCAAGTCCAACTCCTCTGGCAGAGTTGGTATTCAGCAGGTTCTGACCAGTTCTGGAGAACCGGTAGCAGAAATTTTGAATAGGTCGGAGAACTGGCAAATACCACCTCGGACTGGGATTTTGCAGTATCCTTCCCTGCCACGTCCACCAAGCCATGCCCATAGAACCAGTAGTAAAAAAAATTGAGTCCCATAACTGTCCTCTGGTGATACTTTTCTACTAGTTCTCATCCAATTTCATTAGGGGAGACTTTTGGTGAAATTTCAAAAGATGGCTCACAGTTTCATTCATTTATGAGATCATCAATATCTACAGTATGTGTGGCATATGTCTGTGTGTATATATCTATTTATTTCTGTCAGTTATAGGCTGCTCAATTCCCAGAAAGCTCTAATACAGTAATACAGACATAAGATAGAGAGAATTAAAAGAAAAACAACTCAGCCCCTCCCCAAACACAATGACAATGAAGTTTCTATCCACTGGCACACCAAACATGAACTGAAATAATCACCTGGACTTACATTCATTAAAAAAAAAAAGAATAAGGGAAAGTTGCAGGATTGAATAGAATAGAATAACAAGAGTTGGAAGGGACCTTGGAGGTCTTCTAGTCCAACCCCCTACTTAGGCAGGAAACCCTACACCACTTCAGACAAATGGTTATCCAACATCTTTTTAAAAATGTCCAGTGTTGCAGCATTGACAACTTCTGGAGACAACTTGTTCCACTGATTAATTGTTCTCACTATTAGGAAATGTCTCCTTAGTTCTAGGTTGCTTCTCTCCTTGATTAGTTTCCACCCATTGCTTCTTGTCCTGCCTTCAGGTGCTTTGGAGAATAGCTTGACTTCCTCTTCTTTGTGGCATCCCCTGAGATATTGGAACACTACTATCATGCCTCCCCTAGACCTTCTTTTCATTAAACTAGACATACCCAGTTCCTGCAACCGTTCTTCATATGTTTTAGCCTCCAGTCCCCTAATCATCTTTGTTGCTCTTCTCTGCACACTTTCTAGAATCTCAGCATCTTTTTTATACGAGGGCGACCTATTGCAGCATGAGATCCTGTCCTATCACCAATCCACATAAACATCCCCAAACAGCAAGTCTGGGGGGCTTTCCTGAATGTCAATATGGTTGCTGCTAACCTAACCTCTGGCGAAGAACTGTCCCAAAGATGAAGAAGAGCACATTATAAAAAAGACGTTGAGACTCTACAAAGAGTAACCAAGGTGATTAGAGGACTGGAGGCTAAAACATAAATGAACGGTTGCAGGAACTGGGCCTGGCTAGTCTAGTGAAGAGAAGGACCAGGGGAGGCAGGATAGCAGTCTTCCAATATTTGAGGGGCTGCCACAGAGAGGAAGGGGTCAAGCTATTTTCCAAGGCACCCAAAGGCCAGACAAGGAATAAAAGATGGAAACTGATGAACGAGAGATTCAACCTGAAAATAAGGAGAAATTTTCTGACAGTGAGAACAATCAATCAGTGGAATGGTTTGCTTCCAGAAGCTGTGGGTGCTCCATCACTGAATGTTTTAAAGAAGGGATAGGACCAGGGGTGGGATTCTACCAGTTTGCACCTATTCACTAGAAATGGATGTTAACATTCTAAGCAGTTCGGAGAACCGGTTGTTAGAAGAAATTACTAGCCTAATCCTGTAAGGAAGGTAGGAAGGAAACATTCTGGTGTTGCTTACAGAAACCCTTATTACATTCTTGGCAGGACTAGACTTCCTGTCTTCCCCCTCCTTTGCTAGTACTCTGCTTGTGTGGAGTGACCATTCAAAGTTACAGTGGCAATGAAAAAAGTGACTTATGGCCATTTTTCACACTTACGACTATTGCAGAATCTCCACAGTCTTGAGAGTCCAGGTGAAGAGATGCGTGCCTTGATGTGAGTGATATTGAGTTGGCCACGCCCAGCCAATAACATGACCACCAAGCCATGTCCACCCAGTCACATGAACACCAAGCCATGCCCACCAACTAAGCCACGCCCATAGACCTGGTTGTTAAAAAATTTGAATCCCACCCCCGGAAAGGACAGCTATTTGTCTGGAATGTTATAGGGTCTCCTGCTTGAGCAGAAGTTGGGTTGGACCAGAAGACCTCCAAGGTCCCTTCCAAGCCTGTTATAATTCTGTCAATCATCTCTTCAATGGCCAGACACTTCCTTAGCTTCCCATACTTTCATTAAAACCCGTGAGAAGATATGATGATGGAACTGCTAACAGGCCTATTTAGACTGGGGATATGGCATCTGAAGAGGTTTCAAAGAAATGGCGGGGAAAGTGTAACAGATGTGCAACTTCTATCACTTCCAAGAAGTTAGCTAGCTCATGATCATGACCAAGAAAGTGAAAAAATCAGGTCTATTTCACAGGGGAAGAAAAGGTTTTTTGAAAAAAATTGAATATTACATATCTGGATATACCACAGGATTAATTTAATATTAATTGAAACTCAGGACCTGCTTCTAGTCATGGATAAGGGAAACAGGAGACAAATCCTGAAGACATTTTCTAGCTAACCTCAATGAATCTTCATTACTGTGTGTAGGCATTAGCCCAGGTATGTGACCATTCTACCACACATATTATCACTCATTGGTAGCTAACATCTGGTGAAAATCTTCAGGCATGAATGTGAATCTATGAATGAAAACATTTGAATCGACTAAATGAAATCTGGAAACCCTATCACTTCCTCTTCCTTCTCTTCATCACGTCCATCAGCTCCTACCCTTGGCCTCTTTCAAGCTGCAGCCAAGATCTCTGTTTATTTAAGCTTATTAAAAGGGGGAAAAGGATGCATGGAATCTTTCTTTTATGAAGGATTATTGAAAAGCCTGCTGTAAATAAAGAAGGCTCAAGAGAGAAAAGTTTACAATAATGATGGGTTTCAACTATCATCACATTCTACTAGCAAAACCCAGAAAGGTTAAACCTTCATTTTCCTTGGCTTAGCTTTACAAACAGTCTTTAAGATGAGGAAAAAAAACCTTGCTATTTTTCTAATTTAAATATTTTTTTAAAGACGTTAAAACACCCATTATATGAAATTCAGGACACATGCATGGGCACATTTACCAATCTCCAGGGGAAGAAGGATTTAACTTTAATATATTATCTTGGCATATCTTTCCTTTGTGATTTTTCCAATAATCCTGCATTTATACAGTTCTAAAGCTAAGGCTGATAAAACCACAGACAATTCAGATGAAAAGCTATAAAACAGAAACTAGCTTTGATGTCCTGGAAATGAAACAAATCGCTGTCTTTTCATCATTAAACCACTTATCCTTTTCCAGAATACATTATTGAATCTAACTCTAGAAGAGGATTCAGTGTGGATCTTGAGATGCTGCAGATCAAACAAGGGAAGTTTGATACAGAGATGTGAAGAAGGAAAGCTCAGCCTGATTTAGGGCATTATCTACTTCAATTCCTTGAAGGATCTAAATGAGAGAATGCTTCAATATCTCCAAGCCAAGGGGAACTTTCATAAATACATTAAACAGCTTTAAATTTTAGGAATTTAAATATCTTTAAATATTAAAGATCTTAAATATCTTTTAATATTTAGACAAAAGACAGCTTTCTGACAATTCCCATATGTTTAACCCTACTTTCATATCTATTCCCTACAATCTCTAGATATGTAGTTCCTGTACTTGATTGACTTAAGCCAGAGGTAGAGAACTCTGGCCCTTTCATGACTTGCGGACTTCAACTCCCAGAATTCCTGAGCCAGCCAAAAATATCTGGCTCAGGAATTCCAGGAGTTGAAGTCTACATGTCATTAATGGGCCACAGTTCCCCACCTCTGACTTAAGCAAAACACCTAGCAATAAATTTATCAAAGGATGTTAGACCTAAACAGAGTGACTAAAGTCTTCAATCAATTCTTTCGAGAGGAGGCAGAAAAGGAGAGGACGGATGGATGGATGGATGGGTGGGTAGGTGGGTGGGTGGGTGGGTGGATGGAGAGATGAATGGTTTGGATCACCAGATATTTCCATATACAGTAGTCATCATTATCATTCTTCTCTGCTCTTCCTTCTTCATGCAAAGTTCACTACTCAATCTTTCAAGAGCTATGATGGCACACAAGTCACCCATACAAAATGCTTTCTGGCATGTAAATTCTTCGAATAGCCGGGACACCTTGTGACACTTTTGAAACTAATAATTCAAACACATTTTGGCTGCCATGTTTTGGGCTTTTTTTCTTTTCTTGCCTTAATTAACAAATTTTGCTGGGAAGAATCTGAGACTTGAGCTGCAACACCAGACCCACCCTAAGAAAATTCAAACGCCAGATGATCTGGCAGGAAATAGCAAACTTTACCAACAGTCAGGAAAATGCATCAGGGGTTTAGTTTCCATATCAGAAAAAAAAGGAAAGGAAAAATAAAAGTAAACTCACGTGGGTTCTTCAGACACGGTCCTGATCTCTTCCATTTCATGGGCTTGCTTGAACCAAGGCATTCTGGCTTCAACCGGGCTTTTTTCTGGAAGAGGAAATGCATGCATGTTGGTCAACCCTCAGACAGTACAAAGACGATGCAAGGGACATAAGGCTAATGTTGACCCTTGCAACATCTACAAAAAAAAGAGGTGTAAAAGGATGAGGTTGTATCAATCAATGTCTTAATGGAATGGAATGGAATGGAATGGAATGGAATGGAATGGAATGGAATAGAATAGAATAGAATAGAATAGAATAGAATAGAATAGAATAGAATTGGAATGAAGAATAGAATGGAATGGAATGGAATAGAATAGAATAGAATAGAATAGAATAGAATAGAATAGAATAGAATAGAATAGAATAGAATAGAATAGAATAGAACAGAACAGAAAGGAATAGGAATAGGAATAGGAATAGGAATAGGAATAGGAAGAGAAGAGAAGAGAAGAGAAGAGAGAGAAGAGAAGAGAAGAGAAGAGAAGAGAAGAGAAGAGAAGAGAAGAGAAGAGAAGAGAAGAGAAGAGAATAACAGAGTTGGAAGGGACCTTGGAGGTCTTCTAGTCCAACCCCCTGCTTTGGCAGGAAACCCTCTACCATTCCAGACAAATGGTTGTCCAATCTCTTCTTAAAACTTTCCAGTATTGTAGAATTCACAAATTCTGGAGGCAAGTTGTTCCACTGGTTAATTGTTCTAACTGTCAGAACATACCTTCTTAGAACAATTAATCAGTGGAACAACTTTAGATAAAAGCTCTTCATGTCAAAGGCCATCATACAGAGGACACAATTCCTTGATCAGATTGGAATTGGAGTTAACTATAGCGGTGACAATCTATGAGATTGTTTTCTCTTTACCTATCTGCAGTTGCATACATTTGATACAGTCAATCAATGTCATTAATAATGTTAATCCAGTTACCTTTGGGTTTATAACAAGGGACTGGCACGAGACACTCTTCTTTTATGTGGAGTTTTAGTTGAGGATTGCAACCGCCGGTATGTTGTCCACGATGATCAATACACAGAACCACTCGGTAGCGTAACCCTCGGCCACAGGTCACAGTGCACTGTAGAAAGGGGCAGATCAGTCAAAAACTAAGGTGGCTATCAAATGTCGCAGGATTGCTATGCTGCCCTTTGTACCATCCATGGTGTCTGGCACTCCTAAACCTGGTTGTCAGATTTCCCCCCCTATTTTTCTGATCAAGAAATTACAATCTTCCTTCTGCAAGACCTAAGTTGGTCAACCACTATCAAGATTGCTAGATTCCCAGCAACAGCTGCTAGGAGCAAAGGATCAGGGCCATATTGCAGTTCAGAAAGTTTGGCCTATACACCAGATCTAATCAACTAAAGTTCAGTATTAATTGAGGCCCGATAAGGATCAACAGAGTTCAAGAGGAAGTGGACGTGGACCGTCTGTGGCAATGTAACAATTCTAGGCTGATGAGGCACTTCACTCCACCACCACCCCAGCTTTGTTTGCTCTTCTCCTCCAACAGCTGCTGGATATTTTAAAATGGTTTTAAAAGATTCCCAGATTCCCAGCAACAAATATTAGGAGCAAAGGATCAGGGCCATACATTAAGGTGCAGTTTGGAAAGGTTTTTTTTTTTTTTGCACAAGCTTATACACAAGAATCCAATCAACTAAAGTTCAGTACTAAATTGATGCCCGATAAGGATCAATAGAGTTCAAGGGCAAGTGGACGTGGACCGTTTGTGGCAATGTAAGAATTCTAGGCTGATAATGCACTTAACTCCATCACCACCTTAGCTTTGTCTGCTCTTCTCCTCCAACAGCTGGGTATTTTAAAATGGTTTAGTTCTAACTAAGATCGTAAGGATCAAGAAGGCATAACTGCACCATGTAGGAAGTTTTAAGCAAGGCAGTGTTTTTATTTGCAAAGCCAGTAATATCAAGCTCAGGAAATTTTGTACTTCCAAATGTGGTGATTACCTCTTATATGCCTCCAGGACCTCTGATTATTACTGGTATTACATTATTTATTGTTTTTGTATTTTGTGTTTTGAATTTTGCATTTAGGAAAGACTTGAGCACTATTTGCTGTTTTCCCCTCCCAAAGACTCACAAGGAGGTTTCTGATTGTTGGGTACTTTGTTGGAAGTGGGGGAAAAGAGATCACCAGAACACACATTCCTTTCACATTTGTTGAAACGATGATAGGTGCAAATTAGAGCTAAGGAGCCAAGTTTTTTCACATGGGGGTTTAGCATTACAAACACAGAAAAATATTCTGGAACAGTGGTGGTATTCATTTTTTTTTTACTACTGGTTCTGTGGGCATGGCTTGGTAGGTGTGGTGTGGCTTTGTGGGCATGGCAGGGGAAGGATACTACAAATCCCCATTCCCTCCCACCCCACCAACCTGCTTTCCAGCTCCGTTCTCCTGTGCAGGGCAACAAAAGAAGACCCAGCCGATCAGCTGGGACCCAATGGGAGGCAGAGAACAGATGGGCACAGGTAGTGGCGATATTTGCCGGTTCTCCGAACTACTCAAAATTTCTGCTACTGGTTCTCTAGAACCAGTCAGAACCAGCTGAATACCACTTCTGTTCTGGAGGTTACATTTACCTGCGTGCAACTATTAATGCTATCGTTATAAGTCATCCTTGACTCACAACAGTTCTTTCAGTGACCATTTAAGGTTACAACGGCACTGAAAAAAGTGACTTAGGACCATTTTTCACACTTATGACCACTGCTACCTGATCATAATTCAGAAGCTTGGCAACTGACTCATACTTATGACATCCCAGGGTCATGTGATCCTCTTTTGTGACGTTCTAACCATCAAAGGCATTAGGAAAACCAGATTCACTTAACAACTATGTTAGTGATTTACTGAAGTGGTTCACTGAACCTGTGTCAAAAAAAGGTCATAAAATGGGACAAAACTCACTTAGCAACAGAAATGTTGGGCTCAATTGTGGTCGTAAGTCGAGAACTACCTGTGTTAGGTAAAGGTAAAGGTTCCCCTCGTACATGCGTGCTAGTCGTTTCCGGCTCTAGGGGGCGGTGCTCATCTCCGTTACAAAGCCGAAGAGCCAGCGCTGTCCGAGGATGTCTCCGGGGTCATGACTAAACGCCGAAGGTGCACGGAACACTAGTCCCTTCCCACCAAAGTGGTCCCTATTTTTCTACTTGCTTTTTTTACATGCTTTCGAACTGCTCGGTTGGCAGAAGCTGGGGCAAATAACAGGAGCTCCCTCCCTAACGTGGCGCTAGGGATTCCAACTGCCGAACTGCCGACCTTTCTGATCGACAAGCTCAGCGTCTTAGCCACTGAGCCACCGCGTCCCTGTCCTGTGCTACCTCCACCCAAATATATCTTTTCTGCAAGGAACTTTCCATATAATGTGCGATCAATCATCCCAACCATTACAACTGAAAGCTTTCCCCCCGCTCAAAGCAATTTAAATATTCTGCTTCCTTACCTGTGACCACTCCAGAGCTATCCATTTAGGACAATCATACAGGTTGCAAGCTTGCATGACCCTGGGCTTAGGAGCATACATACATTTCCACTCGTCTACTTGCAGTATCTCTCCATGCATGGTCTCTTCCACGCAGACAAAGCTTCTTCTCTGAATTCCTCCTCCACATGAAACTGAGCAAGTGGTCCAAGGATTGTGCTCCCAGCTGTTTGAATGAAATAACAGCATCCCAAGTAGAAGATGAGATTGAATTTCTATCTGGTTTTCAGATGCAAGTGATAATGAAAGCAGTAGAATGCTTCCTCCCTTGGCCATTGAGACTTAACCATGTGCAACGTATTTCCGTTTCAACCAATTGCAAATTTGAAGGGGCTTAAACAGGCTATTTTGGTGATTCTGGACACAGAGCTCAAAAAAAAAAAAACCCTTGTTTTTCATTTTTAAACCTTTCCCTGATAGTCCAAACAGTCTATTCTGGACACAACCTATTCAATTTTCAATTCAGATTAGAGCATTTTGAACACACAATGGTTGTGTTAAAAATGTACACCTTTCAGACTTAAAACCTTGGGTAGTAAAATAAAATAATAAAACCTTGCTACTGAATCCTAAGAGCATAATTCAATTTTACATGAACATTTTATATAGGCAGTAATCAATTTATGGCCATTATGGAGCCCCAAATTTCCATCGTAAGTCATGACAGTCATAAGCCAAGTCACCTGGGTGACCGGACCTAAATTCACTACTTTTGGGGTGATGATTGTACAGTGAACACTGTGGTCAATAAATGAATCAATATATTCCCGGGGGTGTGTTTTTTTGCTCACTGCCTAGCTCAGACAGTATCCCACCCCAAAACCTTTCTTAGAAAGTCATAGAGATAATAACAATAGCACTTGGACTTATATACTGCTTCATAGTGCTTTTCAGCTCTCTCTAAGCAATTTACAGAGTCTGTCATGCCCCTGTTGGAATCTGACTTGGTGTTGGCTGTGGAAGAAACTGGGGAAGGGCAAAGTCCAGTTGGGCAGAACAGGGGAGAGGTAGAACAAGAGAGAAGGAGTTCAGAAGAAGACCCAGGCCCAACCCCTCTTCATCCTAGGGCACGCAGGGAGGAACAGAGAAAGGAGCAGCATGGGTTGCGTGGCTTAGCTGCAGCTGGGAACACAGTGTATAAAAAAGGAAGCTGCGCGCAGCAAACGGTTGGGAGCAATAATGAATCTATCTTGTATCATCATAGCTTATCTGTGTTCCTGGCATCTTCCCAACTGTGTGAGTTTTGCTATGCTTTCAAGTCCGTAATTCCTTCTCCTGACCTGTCAAGCTAATTACTTCGGTTTAGTTTGTTTAGATTTTAAGTTACAGTTTGTGTGTACCTTGTTTTGGACTGATTTTCTACAGTTAAAGGCTGTTCCTGGGAGAGTTTTTCTCCAGCCAAAGGTAACCTGGACATTGGGGGCAAAGTTGGAGATAATAAAGGGACTCATTGCTTATTTGACTGTGTTGCCTTTGTGCCACGCCCCGAGTCATCACAGAATCAGCACATTCCCTCCAAACAATCTGCGTCCTCATTTTACCGACCTAAGAAGGATGGAAGGTTGAGTCAACCTTGAGCCGGTCAGGATCGAACTCCTGGCAGTGGGCAGAGTCAGCCCTCAAAACGGCATTCTAACCAATGAGCCACCACAGCTCAGTTTAATAATAAAGTCCAACCCAGGAGAAATGGAGCAAAAACCTATAAATCCACAAGGTACATTCAAATAACTGCTCGCAATGATGCTGAAGGAAGGAGGAGAATGTTCCTTGTCCAAAATGATTCATATAACTCTTCCCCCTTGGAATAAATTAATCACATCATTCTCAAACCGAACATGAAACTAGCTGCACGTAAAGTGTTGACATTTCAACCAAGCTTCCATGATCAAAACCAGACAACGTGTGAGAGCTTAGAGCTAATGGTTTTGCCATCACCTCTGATACATATGCTCATCTGCTGTTATCGTTTCGTTAGCTCAACTGTGGGAATGATTGATGAGATGTTAAAGAATGACCCAAAGGCTAGTTTTTTTAAAGTGTTCCACTACGAGTGTCACTTTGCATTAGAGTAGAACATTCCAAACGAACTCGGCAGAAAAACTGGGGCAGAGCTGCAGGTTGCAAAAACCCCTAGGGGACTACTAAAAAAAAAAAAAAAAGACAACTCCCTCTGACCAAGCTCTCCTATTTAAACATATATGAAAAAAAAATTAACCTGGGTTTGATTATGTATTACCCGATAGCTTTGGTCCATATATCTTTTCTTGGAAAAGATAAATGGGTTTGGGGTTTGGAGAATGTGTACTGATGTATCTTCCGAGTATCTCCCCGCTCCCACCAATGAAAGCAAACAAAAGAACAATGAACCAATGGAACAGCTCGCCTCCTGGAGTTGGGATTGCACCATCGCTGCAAGTTTTCAAGACAGGACTGGACAGCCTTTTTTCTGGGGTGATACAAATTCTCCTTTTTTGAGCAGGGGGTTGGACTAGAAGACCTCCAAGGTCCTTTCCAGCCTTATGATTCTTTTTGATTCCATGATCCCAACCGAGCTCAAGCATGAAGGCATGAAGGTTGAGCTATGGAACAAAGGCAGAGAAATCTGCAAAAACTAATGCATCCTTTTGACACTGAGATTAAGATATATTTATCCCTTTCGGCTTGCAATTCCAGTTTCTGCTATTTCTAATCCGGTTTCTGTTTTCAGGGTTCTTTTGTTTTGTCTTTAGTTTAGTTTAGTTTACTTTATTGTCATTGCACTATTGTTTCTTTTTATTTTTCTTATATGTATCTTATATATATATTTCTTATATGTATTTCATGTATTCATAACTATGTTTATACTTATACCTGTTATCTTATAATCGCGTGACAAAATAATAAAATAAAATAAAACAATAAACACACATCCTCCACACGCCACACATTGAACCGAAAACCCCCGACACCACACCAACACTGCACTTATACAGCAGAATTCAAAAGAGCTACTGCCCTGGGATAGAAGCTGTTTTTCAGACTATTTGTCCTTGTTTTTATTATCCTGTACCGTCTGCAAGATGGTAATAGTTAAAAAAAAGGGGGGGGGGGGTTTCCCAGGATGAGATGAATCTTTGAGGATGTTTTGAACTTTCTTAATGCAGCGGGACCTATACAGCTCTTCCAAAGAGGGGAGAGGGCAACCCATGATCCTCTGGGTAGGTTAATCCTCTGGAGTGCTATCCCATCTGCCACTGTGCAATTGGCAAACCATACACAGGTGCAGTAAGTTAAGATACTCTCTATGGTGCAGCGGTAGAAAGTCACCAGCAGTTTTTCATTCCGTTGTTGAGAAGTTTCAGGTAGTATAATCTCTGCTGGACCCTTTTGACCAGGGCTGCAACGTGAGCACCCTGGGCCAGGTCTTCTTTTATGGTCTTTGTTCTAAATTGGTTCGGAAGCTGTAGTTTTACACTGACAGGTTTTTGTCTCTGCAAGCCACTCTCACCAGGTAGCCTTGTAATCTTTTTGTTTTTAATTTGCAAACAAGCGCACAAGTGTTTACAGTGCCGGGGTAAACAATGCTAATATAACATATGAGAAGAGACAGGGATAAGTTTATATTCAGAAACATACTGGTCTCCCAGATTAGTTTCAGGCTTGGAGAAAATTCTCAGAAGTGGTTCTCAAAATGTCCAGATCAATTTTAAATTCACAGCTTGCTATTCTAATGGCACTGCAGGACATTAAAAGAGCACCATCCTTTAAGCTAGGATCATTTAAGCAGGCATCTGCACCAGTGAGAAGAACTGGTGAAAATTGAAACTGAAATTGGGAACACAACAGGAGTCTGGATTAATGGTTCCTGCAAGGGGAGCATGCAAACTGTAGTCGAATCAGATTATTATTATTATTATTATGAATAATACACAGCTTTTCAGTAGAAAGCTCATAACCAAACATTAGAGATCTTAGATGCAGTCGGTATGTCTGCAGCCATATAGACATGAAACATTTTAGATGCTTTAAATCACGACTAGGAAGTAAAGAAAATTTACCCGTGATTAGATTTGAATATGCCGGCATAATCTAATGTGGTTACATGTACAGTTCGGGTTTCTGCATTTCATTATTCCATCAGTTCAAAAATACAAGCCCGATACGCAATTCCTGGGAGGATATTACAGGGATGGCAAAAGGGAGCTTCTAGAACAGTCCCTCAGATGTGTTTTTCAGAGGCTGGACAGGCCAAGGGTCTGCTTAGCACTCCAGAAAGTGTTTAAACTGTGAAATCTGTGAAGGTATGTGTAAGGACATAGAACTGGGAAGGGGCATGTAGCGTGGGATTTTTTTTTCCTCCAAGATTTCTCCATCTGTTTAAACATTCCGGTGATGCATTTGCAGCCTAACTTATGGCTGAGGTCATTCAAGACGCTCTACATAAGTTGACTTCCACCTCTTATCCCAACTCCCTCATTTGGCTAATGAAGTCTGCATCTTGCTCTACTGCAGGGGTCTTCAAACTTGACAGCTTTAAGATGTGTGGACTTCCACTCCCAGAATTCTTCCTCCAGTCAGGTTAGCTCAGGAATTCTGGGAGTTGAAGTCCACAAGTCTTAAACTTGCCAGGTCTGAAGACCCTTGCTCTACCGGATCACAAAGGAAGCTTCCATCTGGTTCTACTATTTATCAGCATTTATAAGTTAAAGGGAGGAGAGGATGCCATCAAATCCAGGCCAATTCCTTTGTCTTTCGTTTTTGCTCTGTCCCTGGAATTTCTACCTGCCAGGTGGGAATTCTGCAATACAATAACTGAAGGCATCAGGGAACCTGGGAGGAACCTACTGTGGCTTCGTAAGTAGCAAACAAAGGAACTTCCAAATGAAATCAAATCGGGGAGAAATGGGTTTCTGCAACTTTGAAGGAGTGGCAATTCTTTCTAGCCATGGGGAAATTGTGCGGTCATTACTCCTGATCTAACTTCTTCCCTCCTTCACTTACTGTTGAGTCAAAGTAAATAGAAGTAAGGATTCTATTTCATTCTAATTTTTACAGTTCTTCTGTGCCACGGTTATTATGCAACACAGTTTTTGAAAAATGGGGGGAAAAACCTTACCCAGATCACAAAATTGACAATGAGATAGCCACTGAAAATATGTTATCTCTTTCCATAGACATATTGATGATCCCCAGCTTTTTATCCCACTGAAATTTTACCAAATTCAGGATTCAGTGTAGATCATTTGTTCATGAATACCTTTGAGGAGTTGTCTTTATTTAGCCAACTTCCACACTGTACTCAACAATTATTATCTTATTCCATATCTTGCTAATGGAATACCTGCACTTAAGTAGGCAAGTGGATTAATGTATTGAAATGCCCTGTACTCTGGAGTGACTTTATCTCAACAACCAAATGTCATAGACGGTCAAATTCAGACATTACCATCTATGGCAACAATAAATTCCTTGCCTTCGTCTTGAGTAAGCAGGAGGTTGTATGTATGAAATTATAGACTAAGTGCCTGCAGTAGGCTATCAATGGAATGCTAATAAGCTGTACCTTGTAAGCGTCATACATACCGGGGAAGTGGCTGGAAATGATCATAGGGCATGATTTCCTTAAATCCATCACTGTGAATAAAGCAGAGGCATTTACAAAGTTATTTGCCAGGTGCCAGATTACAATTTTCCATTTGATATATTACTTTATTTTAAAAAACACGCACCAAACTTAGGAAAACAACTCAGTCCTATGGTGGGTGTTTGCTTCTTGACTATCTTACCTTAATTGTTGAACTTAATTTTCCCAAGGGGGTAAGTAAGGAAACCAGTTAGCTAACAAAGAGGAATATAATTCCGGGACTTTTTTGTAAAAACATAACATTACTGCAGCAGTTATTTTCCTAGTCCCTGAGAAGGGTTGGTGGGGGTGGGTGGGTGGATGGGGGAGAGGTCTGGAAGCTGATGTTACTTTAGAGACTATGACATCCACAATTAACTCACTGTGCCTGAATAGAACACATGTATAGGTTCCTCCGGATTGTGGAACTACAGCAGAGAAAAAATATATATCCAGAGTCCTGGATATTAACCATCTTCATGGCCTCTTATAGAAGGAGTTCTGGGACATGGTGGCTCAGTGGCTAAGAGACTGAGCTTGTCGATCAGAAGGTCGGCAGTCCAACGGTTCGAATCCCTAGTGCCGTGTGCGTAATGGAGTGAGCTCCCGTTACTTGTCCCAGTTTCTGCCAACCCAGCAGTTTGAAAGCATGTAAAAAAAAGGCAACTAGAAAAATAGGGACTGCTTAGGTGGGAAGGTCACAGTGTTCCGTGTGCCTTTGGCGTTTAGTCATGCTGGTCACTTGACCATAGAGACGTCTTCGGACAGCCCTGGCTCTTCGGCTTTGTAACCGAGATGAGCACCTAGAGCCAGAAACGACTAGCACATCCGTTCGAAGGGAACCTTTACCTTTACCTATAGAAGGAGCTGCTTCCCAAACATCATTGTGAAGTCTTTTTATACTTCCAATCCCACCTCAGAAATTAGGTTTTCTGTGAATATTTCTGTCATTCCAAAATTCTAGTCGAATGAAATCTGCTTCCAGGTAAAAGATCTAGATACTACCAAGCTAAGATCATCCCCTCTTTTCTACAACACAGAAAAGGTGTGAAATGTAACAAATGCAGGAGGCTTGTAAGTGCCTTCAACCTGGAGAACTTTCTCTCCCAACTGTATTTACTGTCAGCCCATCAAGATAGATCAAATCAGGAAAGATATTCTGTAGGAGGACGAGAACTAAATCGCGATGCCTGAATTTTCTTTTCCACTTTCTTCTTATAATCAAGGGAGTCAGTGGTCTTTGTGGGGAGCTAGTATGAGTCTCTCCTGCCCCTCTGGGTTTGTTTCTTCTGCAACTGGTGTTTTCCTAAGGCCTCTTTGATTTCTTCTCCAAGGTCATCTCCCTGGTTCTCTACATGTATAAAAGGCCTGCCTGGAAGTAGAAGACTTTCAAATCGAGGGTGCCTTCAGCCTAGACATTCTTCTTCTCCAACCAAAGGATCTGCTTGGAAACATTCTTTGCAAAAGGGTGTTTAACTGAAATGCTTGCAAATTCTTCTCCCCTTCCCCTTCCTGCTTCTTAATTTTTGTTTTTAGCCTGCAACGGCTGGCCCACAGTCTTTTCGTTCCCTTTAGAGTGCCTTGTATACTGGTGGAACTATGTAAATTAATACCGCTCCTCCCAGGATTAGTGTGCTATCTGGAATTGTGAATGTAAGAAGCCTCAGCGTCTTCTTGAGGCATAGAAAGGGACAGCGAGATGCAAAAACTTGGTTCCGGAAGGGCCAAGGATTAAAATTGCAAAGCCCAGCATTCTGCCCTGGTGTGATTAGGAAAACAGCAGGATCTATTTGCTTCTCCGTGGATTCCATCTCAAATGTTCTGGCCCATCTCCAGCGACTGAGCCCAGAGGACCTCAAGTGAAGGAGAAGCCCCACAGGCCTGGAGGCTGGGCATTCCAACCCTCCGCCTTGAGTCTGGTCCTAATAACTGTGAGGAGAAGTAATACGAAACGACGTAGAATATTCAACCCACAAGAATTTTAGCACCTTCATCTCTAGAATTCTCAATATTAAGGGGAGTCCTCATATTACACGCTGTCTCACCATTTAATAAACACTCTCGTGAAGCTGCAGCAAGTTTAACTGTTTGAAGCACTGCCTGCCTGCCTGCCTGCGAATATATGCGTCCCAGGGTAAGGTTGCAGGATCCACTCCAAGTCTGTCACCAGGACTCAAGCTTTATTCTTCTTCCAAGCTTTTGCGCTCTTTCTGGAGCCCATCCTCAGGCAACTTCACTCTCTCCAGAATGTGTGCACTGGACTGTTTGCAATAGTGGCAAATCTCTGTAGCTCGGCTGTAGGATGAGGGTGAAGGTTCATTCTCTGAGCTTGGTTGGTTTCTGAACATTTCGTTACTGGGCCAGGCGACATCTTCAGCATAGTTTAGGGTATGTCAGTGTCTGCTGTCTTTTTCTATTTATCAGGGCTACATGTGGTCAGTAGATCTTGTCATGGGTCAGGTGTGGGTGTGTCAAATGAGGGTACAGACGGACACTTACACCGACATCCCCTAAACGCCACTGAAGATGCTACCTAGCCCGGTAATAAAATGTTCAGAAACCAAGCCACAAGCTTGGAGAATGAACTTTCACCCACTGTTCTATGTATTGCATTTATATGGTGCCTCATTGTGTGTGGCCATCAACATGGGCATCGACACCATAATTAACAATTAAAAGCCACACACAACTAGGCGCAATAATAATACAATGTGTAAAACAGCCCAGTGCATTCTAGCTGGTCAGAACCTGCTGAATGCCATACTAGCTCCCCACAAAGACCCACTGACTCCCTTGATTATAAGAAGAAGAAAATTCAGGCATCGCGATTTATTATGGGCAGAGGTGGTATATTCAGCAGGTTCTGACCAGTTCTGGAGAACCAGTAGTGGAAATTTTGAGTAGGTCAGAGAACCGGCAAATCCCACCTCTGACTGGCCCCACCAACCCCATCTCTTCTCTGCCTCCCATTGAGTCCCAGATGATTGGCTGGGTCTCCTTTGGTTGCCCTGCACAGGAGAACGGAGCTGGAAAGCAGGTTAGTGGGGTGGGGAGGGAATGGGATTTTGCAGTAACCTTGCCCTGCTGTGCCCACAAAGCCACACCCACCAAGCTACACCCACAGAACCAGTAGTACAAAAAATTGGAATCCCACCACTGATTATGGGGAGAGAGAGAAGTTTTCTGAGGATGGCCTCTGGCATGAGCCCAGAAGCTTGGGAGAATACATTTTTGGTTCCAGTGACCAACTCAGATTGGGTCTTCCTGAGAGTTTGTGTAACCATTTATGCCCTGAATTCCAGTTTTGCAAGGATGGACCTGCAGGAAGGATCAGGGAACCTCTGTGCAGCCGAGCTTTTGAGATCTCACAACCGAATGATTTTATTTGACTGGGATTAGAAGAAAAGGACAACGTAGTTATAGGAAATAAATTTCACCCTAAGTGTTTCCCTTTTATTTATTAGATATATCAGCGACTCTGCCAGGTGGCATTTAAGGTTTTGGGCTACATATTGAATGTTATTTTAAGATACTTTTGTGGAGCCAGGAAACAGCACCAGATGATCCAATGGCCTTAAATGTCATTGTGCAACTCAATACGTACACTGCAGATGCTTTAGGAACTTGGCAGGAGCCAGATGTGGTACAAGCATCTTGCCTTGCACAGAATTTGAGTCTGTTTCCCTTAAAACAGATTAAAGCTTTCAGAGGCTGATCCAAAAGGAAAGTAAGTCATGTGATTACTTGCATCCAGTAGGCCAATCATTCCCAATGAGCAAACTGGGAAAATCAGGATGCCTTGAAGAGGAAGGACAAGTAATGGTGACAGTAAAGAGTTTTAGCATCTTGGATTCATTGATTCTCTGGACTCTAAAGGTGGAAGAATGAGGGCTGGGAGGGTATCCCCTTGTAGCAATGACCTCTCTGGAGGTCAGAACCCCAAGGCATTGACCACAATTCAGAGGATGGTGACCTCAAAACTTTTTTCCACACAAGATCATATCATTTCCCCTGAACCAAGATCATATCATTCTAATAGACATCCTCCCGACCTAATGATATTTTTAATTTTCTTCACTGTATCTTCCAGCATGAGAAGTCTGAATTTTATCCTTGCAGTTCTCCAGGAAGAATCTTCACCTCAGACCAATTGGTTCAGAGCAACCCCACAGAAACAGATTTAAAAAGAAGCCACTAAAGAATATGAGTATGCAAATGCAAGAACACCAGGGTGTCAATTCATTTCTATATTAACAAAATAGAGTAAAGAAGAGCGGAGTGGAGTGGAGTGGGGAGGAGAGGAGAGGAGAGGAATGGAGTGGAGAGAAAGAGAAGGAGAGGCAGATGGAGAAAGGAGAGGAGAAGAGAGGGAGAGGCGGAGGGAGAAAGAGAAGGATAAGGATAAGGAGAGGACAAAGGACAGGGAGAGGCAGAGAAGAGAGGGAGAAAGAGAGGGCGAGGGAAAAGGAGGAGGAGAGGCAGAGAGGAGAAGAGAGGGAGAGGGGAGGAGACTAATGTAGTGTAGCATAGCATAACATAGCATAGAGTAAGTATTGTAATGTAGAATAGGGTAGTGTAGAGTAGAGATATTCTCTACTCTACATATATTGAGAGCTTTGCCGATCACTGCTTTTCTGAGTGATGGGCACCTGGCTAGTTATAAATAAAAAAGGAATTAGCAAAGACTTGGAAACTAAAATGCCAACCACCCATTTACACATTGGAATACAAACCTTGAAGGGCAGGGATCCATATTGCACTCCTTCAGCTTTGGTTTGGGTTTCTTGTTTTCAGGATAATAATGGCAATACTGGTCTGGCACCACCCGCTTGGAACGGATGTCCATGCATTCTGCAGAGTTCAGCTGGTAACCTAGAATGGGGTGAGAATAGGCCATACCTGATGATGATTATACCTAATACCTAATTATTCAGGCACCCATTTCTCCCTGCAATGTCTCACGCCTCCTCCATCTGTCTTTTTCACTAACAGTGTCTTACGACACCGGCAACCAGAGTGACATACCATCCGCAACCACGTAATACATTTGCACAGCCATGTGATCACAACAGCTGCTTCCCTTTTCGGTTACACACTCCCTTGCCATCAAAAAACGCACATTCCCACCTGCTCTGATTCCCCCATGATGACAACCGAGTCATCGGAATGTGCATCAACCCTTAGAAACCCACTCAGTCATGGAACCCAGAGCTTTGGGATTCCGTCATCTTTCTGTCAACAAGGATCCAGGTTCTTAAACATGGATGGTTATCCTCAACTTATGACTGCAATTGAGCTCCAACGTTCATTGTTGTTAAATGAAAAACTTGCTAAGTGAGTTTATCCCATTTTACGACTTTTCTTGCCCCTTTTGTTAAGTGAATCACCGCAGTTGTTCAGTTCCTCATTGAGGTCACTTTTCCCAGGGTTGCAATTGCTAAATGAGTGACAACTATAAAATGTGCATACAAAATGTTTTATGAGTGAGGGGTGGGGTGGGGGGAAAGCAGGCTCAAGGGTGACAGTGAATTATGGGTCTCAGAGTCGGCTACGCCCAGGTCATGCCGACATGTTGGCTTTTAATAAATCCTTTTTAATTTTGGGAGTGTGGCTCGAGGCTCATGATTTAATTGGAGCAATTGCCGGAATCCTGACAATGAGTGGTTGTTAAATCAAGGACTACCTGTATAGAAAATAGTGCACAGGAAGTCCTCGACTTACAGTAGTTTATTTAATGAACTTTCGAAATTACAACGGCGCTGAAAAAAAGTGACTTACGACCGTTTTTCATACCTGCAACATTTGCAGCATCCCCAGGGTCACCTGGTTTACATTTGGACGCATGACAAGTGGTTTCTCTTTATGACGCCTGCAGCATCCTGGGGTCATGTGATCTCCTTCTGTGATGAGCAAAGTCAAGGGGGAAGCCAGGTTCACTTAATAATCACGTTACTACCTTATCTGTTGGATCTGGGAGGACGGTTCAAGAACGGAGGCAAGACTCAGATAGCAACAACAGCTCTTTATTAGTGACTTCAGATCTGAGCAACTAATCCCAGCCGCAGCAGCCCCTTATATAGGGCTGGCTGCGGCTAGGCAGCCAATGAAGGCGATTTGAGTTTGCCGCTCTTGGCAGGGCCAATCGCGGCAGCCCGTTTACTGGCCAATCGCTTCAGTCTATGGCGACCAATCACGATTGGCTATCAGCGGGCCAATCAGGTTTGCAGGCTTCGAGCCTGCTAGTCTGGAACATTATCAACCGCACTGATTCACTTAACAACAGTGGCAAGAAAGATTGTAAAATGGGGCAAAAGTCACTTAGCAAACATCTCACTTAACAACATAAATTTGGGGCTCAACTGTCATCATAAATAGAGGACTACCTGTATTTACTGATTTTTCTCTTCCTTCTCAAAACCTCATTATTTCTAGCTATATTGACAACTCTTGGGAATCCTTTATGCAAACCCAGGGAGGTTACTTTGACTATCTCTGGTCCATGTCAGTTTCACAGATGAGCCAACAGTGTGCGGCGGCGGCAGCCAAAAAAGCCAATGCAATCCTAACTTGCATTAACAGAGGGATACAATCAAGATCAATAATGCAGCTCTATAAAGACTTAGTAAGACCACACCTAGAGTACTGCATCCAGATTTGGTCACCACACTATAAAAAAAAGATGTTGGGACTCTAAAAAGAGTGTAGAGAAGAGCAACCAGGATAATTAGGAGACTGGAAGCTAAAACATACGATGAATGGTTACAGGAACAGGGCCAAGCTAGTCTAGCGAAGAGAAGGACCAGGGGAGACGTGATAGCAGTCTTCCAATATTTGAGGGGATGCCACAGAGAGGAGGAAGGGGTCAAGCTGTTTTCCAAGGCATGTGAAGGCCAGACAAGGAACAATGAATGGAAACTGAACAAGGAGAAATTCAACCTGGAAATAAGGAGAAACTTTCTGACAGTGAGAACAATCAACGCATTGGACAGAAGCTGCCTTCAAAAGTTGTGGGAACTTCATTACTGGAAGCTTTCAAGGAGAGATTGGACTGCCATCTGTCAAAAATGGTGTAGGGTCTCCTGCTTGGGCGGGAGGGTGGACTGGATGACCTACAAGGTCCCTTCCAACTCTATTAATCTGTAATCTCTGGTCCATGTCAGTTTCACAGATGAGCATTCAAGAGTTCACTTCATCTCATTTCAAAATCTATGCACATTAAAGAAACAGGCACTCCATTTTCCTGAACTTCCTCTCTGTGGCTTGGAGGTTGAATCTCTGGGCAGCTCCTAAAATCTACTGTTCAATTCTCATAATGCAGAAAAGGAAGAGGGATGTCCAGGAGCAGAAATCTTGGATTTTTCTCTGAACCTCTTCCATAGCATGCTGTCTAAAATTTGCACGCAGCTTCCCATGCTATATACACTGAGGTAGCTCACAGAAATGTATCATTGGCAGATTTTCCTGTGGCTTCAGGCAACACCAAAAGTAATTAAAACTGGAAGCCACAATCACTAAAGAGGAGAGCCAAGCCCACCACTCGGCCCAGCCCTGCAAAACCACAAATATTTTTAGCCTGGCTCCTCCATGCTCAGCAACAGGAGGTGAAGACAAAGAGAAACACAACTCTCAAGAAAGCCGCTGGTGCAAGGGATCTGCGTAAGAATCCTATGAAGGTTTCCTCGGATTACAATTGAGGAGACAGGAAAGAAGAGAAGCTCATTTGTAGGGAAGGGCAGGCTTCTTTATAAGGGGTGTGTGTGTGTGTGTGTGTGTGTGTGTGTGTGTGTGTGTGTGTGTTGGCTTTTAAGCAAGCAAACAAAAAGGACCCCCCCCCCCAAAAAAAACAAACTGCAACATAGAGACAAGCAAATTGCATTAACAGAGGGACACAATCAAGATCAAGGGAGGTGCTAATACCACTCAATAAAACCTTAGTAAAGACCACACTTAGGATGCTGCATCCAGTTTTAGACACCACACTATAAAAAAGATGTTGAGACTCAAGAAAGAGTGCAGAGAAGAGCAACCAGGATGATTAGGGGACTGGAGGATAAAATATACGATGAACTGTTGCAGAACTGGGCCTGGCTAGTCTAGCAAAGAGAAGGCCCAGGGGAGACATGATAGCAGTCTTCCAATATTTGAGGGGATGCCACAGAGAGGAGGAAGGGGGTCAAGCCATTCTGCAAGGCACCTGAAGGCCAGACAAGGAATAATGGATGGAAGCTGATCCAGGAGAGATTCAACCTGGAAATAAGGAGAAACTTTCTGACAGTGAGAACAATCAACCAATGGAACAGAAGTTGCCTTCAGAAGTTGTGGGAGTTTTATCACTGGAGGCTTTCAAGAAGAGACTGTCAGAAATCTGTCAGAAATTGCATCTGCATCTGTCAGAAATTGTGTAGGGTCTCCTGCTTGGGCAGTGGGTTGGACTAGATGACCTACAAGATCCCTTCCAACTCTGTTAATCTAATCAAACAGAGTTACAAATCAAAAATTTCTAATGAAGCCTCTTTCCTCATATTAGGTATCATCACACAGAGGAATGCAAACCCCGGGAGAAAAATTGAGCAGTATAATAATTTTAACGTCCTGCCCCAAATCCACTGAACAAGCGAAAGAGGTTCCAGTGCTAAAAGGTAAACACTGAACATTTCAACCATTTGTTTAAACCCAGCTGCATTTTATGGGGAGCACATGGCTTGCGAAATCCCTTTGGACTTCATGGCAGAGAATTGAAGGCTGTTTTGAACATATAATCTGCTGAATGACGGATGGCTGCTCGTTTACTCCTCCCCTCTCTTGGTTTTGTTTTGAAAACGATTGTCTCCAGAAAATATTTAAGTCATTTGTAAGCCGGCGAAAGAAGCCAAATGGGAGTTGACAATGGCTAAACAACCTCATGTCGGAAGCATTTAGGCCGGGAAGAAACAGAGCAACATTTCTAAAACACACTATTAAGATTAATGTCCAACCTATATTTTTGGCTCATTTCTTACTTAAAGAGAGGGAACAAGAGAGGGGGGTTGTGTGTGTGGAAAAAGCAGAGGAAGAAACGCATTCTTTCGCAGGCCCAAGAGAGTGCTGCTTCTACATTTTGGCCTTCGAAGCTGATATTACAAGTTGGATTGCACTTTGCGTAGGTGTAGATGTAGTGAGAGTCCTCGACTTTATGACCACAATTGAGCCTGAAATTTCTGCTGCTAAGCAAGACAGTTGAATGAATTCTGCCCCATTTTGCGAACTCTGCTGCCACCATTGTTAAGTGAGTCACTGCAGTTATTAAGTTAGTAACCTGGTTGTTAAGTGAATCCAGCTTCCCCATTGACTTTGCTTGTCAGAAGATCGCAAAAGGGGATTGATCATGTGACCCTGGGGCACTGCAACCGTCATAAGTATGAGTCAGTTGCCAAGTGCCACTCCAGTTTAGCCTCTGTGGGAGTTGCCTGTTCTTCCAGTTTCTCCTTTCTGGGAAGTAAATTTTGGGGACTTTTTCACATTTCACTTATTGTACCCTATGACTATTATTAAGGGTTGCACCTGATGATTCTTGACTCTTGATGAGTGTATCTTTTCTTTTATGTACACTGAGAGCCTTTGCACCAAGACAAATTCCTTTTGTGTCCAATCACACTTGGCCAATAAAGAATTCTATTCTATTCTACTCTATTCTTATTCTATTCTATTCTTATGATTATTCTTATTCTATTCTATTCTTCATTCCAATACATTCTATTCTATTCTATTCTTGTTTTCTATTCTATTCTTCATTCCAATACATTCTATTCTATTCTTCATTCCAATACATTCTATTCTATTCTATTCTATTCTATTCTATTCTATTCTATTCTAT